TCAAAAAAAAAAAAAAAAAGTATAGTATCTTTGTCAAAGTTACATGGAATCTTAATCTTGACCCATAAAGATTGAAATCTTTACAATCTAATTTGTAATGCATATTAACAAAAATCTCATTTTTACAAAAATGAATGGCTAATGCCCAAAACTGAGAACAAAAGATTCTGAAATACTTTCAGTTTCTAACTTCAGTGAATCATCAGAATTTGGGTCAGAGTCTCTGAATAAGACCTGCTGAGAAGAGCCAGTTCATCACAAGGGCCTCTCTCTCCCAACACAGCCATTTGATGATAAAAGAAATGGAAGGTAAAAAGTGGTCACTTTAGGCATAAGAATTGGAACAGCCCTTGACACTAACCCAAATAGATAATATCCCTTCACCACTGCAGGTCACCAATGAAATTCAAATAGACTCATTTGTTTTTTCTTTCTTTCTTTCTTTCCTGTCTAACACCAGGGATACTACCAGGGGAAAGAGAAAAAGCATACATGAGAGAAGACCACATCCTTCTCATTTAACTCTTCCTACTACTAGAGGCACCATTTTAGCCTGTTTTGGGGATAGAATGGGAGAACTGTGAACCAATATGTGATTAAAGTTTTAATGTGAACAGGATGAAGCCTTAAAAATATAAATAATTTCCTTGTAGCACAATTAATCAACACTGTGTGAATCTGGACTGTGGTGTCAGTAAGGGAAGCCTCTAGGTAGTAGAAAGTAGGACTCATAAAAACTGGTAATATCTTTTGGCAAAATAAAGTAGTTTCATATAATCCCCAAATTGGTGATATTGTTATGATAGAGTCTTTCTATTCAATAATAGAATATATCCTCCCATAATTTAAGTCCTCTTTTGTATATTTCAATTACACTTCACATGTTTTTTTTTTCAGGCAAATATTATACATTTTAAAAGTTTATTTCTAGGTATTATATCCCATTTTAAATGGAACCATTTCTTCCATTATAAGTTGTAGTAGAAAAGCTAGTGATTTTTTATACAGTTCTTAAAATCTAGGCAAATTTTTAAAATGAGAGATTTTCACTTAATTTCTTGAGGTTTGCAGATATACAATCACATCTTCAAGAAAGAGAGCATTTAACTTTTACTGTTGGCCTTGGTTAATTTCATGGGCTTATACTTCTAAGGTTGATAGTGTTAAAAATGGATGTACTTGCTAACATTTATTTAACTCTCCAAATTCATTTGTACCCTTCTCCACTTCACTCTTGTAGACTGATCTGTATGAACAGTGTCAGTGGTTTCTTCTCTACTCTTGCATCTGATTAGGTTTGGCCAATGGGAAATCCTGGCAAGAGACTAGGACGAGAGTTGGGTCAGGTATTTCTTTCTTTTTTAAATATTTTTGAAATGTGGGGTACAATTCAGGACTTGGTACATATGTAGTCATCGTTAGGGTATTTATTTCTTTAGTCTCTGTTTCTGTAGACTCTGCTCTTAGCTGCCTGAATTCTGCAACCAAAAGTCAATTTTCCTTAAGCAGCCCTTGCTAGCTGACAGTCTCTTTTCTGAATATGGTAGCCTCTTCCTCCCCTTGTTGCTTTTGTCATTAGACGGTTGGTTTATCATTTCTTCTTGTCTCCTCATATCCCGCCCATGCCTCCATACATAGTTCCTTTATTAAATCCTCAAATAATCTTAATTTGGATATGCTATTTCATTCCTGCTGGACCTTGGGGTAGTAGTGTTAGTATCATTGTTTTGCTCATAACTTTAATACAAATGCTTCTGTTATTTTTCCCAGGATTCTTAAGGTTTGTGGATCAGTGAAATAATCTTTGAATTGCAAAGAGTTCAGTAGGGATGTAGCATAAATGAGAGAGTAGCAAGAAGACATTTTAGAAAGTAGGTTCTTTGAATGTCATTTAAAAGTATTTAGATATTATCCTAAAGCTATTGCAAATTCTCAAGATTGTAGTCATAAGTGGCATGGTCAGATTTTTAGAAATAATTCCTCTAGTCTGAGTAAAAGATGGATCATTCTCATTACCCCATTCTCTTTTTGAAAGCCTCACAGTTGCATTTTATTATACCTTGAATGAAGTCTTAAAACCCAACCCTTAACTAGGATGCCTTCAATTACTTTTTACTTCATCAGTGCTGCTGGTCCCTGCTGTTATCTTTGGTCTAATTCTTCAAAACACTCCTGTTTTCATCAAAACAAACTGCATGTTGGATACATTCTTCTCCCATTATCTTATGAAATCCTGTCCAAATATCTCTACTGTAGAATCCTTTCACTGTTATTATTCTATACTTAATATTTAATTCTATTCTTGATTTTCTCAAATGCTATATAACATAGTACAAAAACTCAGGGCAATGAAGTCAG